TCTGTGTTACTTTAATTTAGAATTTTCATTGGATAGTTGGTGTAATCACAGGTATATTGTCAGCATTTTTTTTTAATTTTCTTTTGCACACTTTGAAATTTACTCCATTAAGTTTTTGGATATTAATTTCTCTTTATTGTTTACTTTCAAAAATATATGCTCTCTTTGCCTGGGCTTATTTTAATCTTTCAACTATTATTCTGATTTTCTTCCTGCTGAGTTGAAATTCTTTGACCTGAATCATTATTTTTGTTTACACAGATCCTGGAATATTCCTTTCCCTTAGGGCACCTATTTTCTTATCTTTTAGGGCACCTGTTTTTTTGGTTTTTTTTTTTTTTTTTTAAAAAAAAAAAGCTAGGTAACAAGTATAATACTAGTCCATTCTTCTTTCAGAATGTCCAGAACTAAGGTAATAGTTCCAGATCAGCTTCAAAATGCAAAGCCATTTTGAAAGACTCCTTAGCTTCTATACATTGCTAAGAATGCAAATTAACAAATTAACATTTCTGAAACAAACCTTCTCAAAGCAAAAGAGTGAATGGAAGCAATAACAGGCTGTGAAGATCTCTGCATATGCATTTTTAAGAGGTACTTTTCTTCTGGAGGAAATTCAGAGAAAGGAAACTGTGTTTCCACTATGCAGATTTGGAGAGATAGGAAATCTTTTGTTGTGGCAGAAGGAAATTTGTTGTGGGCAAGCTAAGTGCGCAATAAAGATGGCAGTAACTAAGCAAAAACTGCTGCCCATATGGGATACACATAGCAATGGCATATATATTTACTGCAAAACTTGAGCAAATGCTACATGCAACAGTGTTTGCAAACTACTGCTATGTGACTATTAGCAAACTGGGAGGTATGGATTATCAATAATTACACAATCATTCCTTTGGTGACAGTACCAAGTGAGTGAGCCTTCACATCCACCCTTCACTGACCACCTATTGCCACTTTGTACATATTTGCCAATATAATGAGCACTGGGTTAAAAAGAAAAAAAAAAAAAAAGAGCAATTGATCACAAAGTAAATTGATTTAAACCACAGTGCCAGCAGATGAATATTCACCCTTGTTATCCCACTGTAATTTCCTGACATTTTAGTGAGTGGTATCAGTTTGTCAAGACAATTAAAGAAACAGAAAATACAAATTTTATATGTCTGTAATAAACAGTGGAATACTGGGCTTGGGAACTTTAAGCATGGAAATTGCCTGCCATGCCCAGAAAGCAAGATGTTGTGTATATTCACTGTTAATAAATAATTTCATTCATGAAAATGCCTGATTTTTAACATCAGTTCTCACTATTGAGGCAAATTTGTAAATTCCTCAGTAGTGACTAGTTGTTCTGGCTAAAGGAATGGCTGAGTTAAGTACAGTGCAAATAAAGGCTAGGATTAATTGGGATCTTTATTAGACCATTTAAAATATACTTTGTAGGAGCTGCTGTGGAAATTAATGGAAGTTACTCCTCCAGACTTCCTGACTAGTATTAATCTCATTTTATTATGAGTATTAATCTCATTTTATTAGCAAAATAACCTTACAGCTGTTTTCTACAATTCGTAAAGACGAACTGAAATATGACTATGTTAGTCTCTAACCCCAGTAATCACCTGCACGCTCAACCTGGTGGTTTTAAAAGCAAGCTTTATTAGTCGGCTGGCGGCGAACCTCTTACAGTTTGTCCTGAGATCCGTGCTGTTTGAGGAGAGATTTGTGTTTTTAATAGATGACTACAACTTCTTCTTTTTAAAACATTATCTACAACCATCATTTACTAACCCCCAACCATCACCCTCACAATCTCCTTTCTGCTTGGCAAGTTCAAAATCTTATCTCGTGGTCACAGCAAGAGCAGCAGGATACGGTATCCTGTTAGTCCTTGTCCTTGATTGTGGCAAGCGATATTTACAGAAGCAGATGGCAAAGTTAACTGTATATTACATAGCCTATGCCTTATACTTTCTTTAGCGTGCAAGCTTTTTACAGAAACAGAAACACACTACCCTATTAACCCTTTATAGGCCTTACAACTACAGGTACACAAAGCACAGATGAAGTTATTCACTTCAATCTAGCATATTGTCTGGCTGACAAAAGGCAAAGTAAATTCTTTAACCATGATAACTGCCGTAGCATTTCTTGCAACAGAAGAATCATATTCTCAGGCTTTCCCTGCAATACCTGTAGCAACCGTGCAAACCACTCAGCAGCACCTATAATGTGCATCTAAGACTGAGGGGCAATTCAGTCACAATCCATTTAGCCTTCTGGCCTATGTGATGATTGTTAATAAATTTGTTAATATTGTAGTTCAATCTCCAGAAAGTCAGCAAACATGAACCACTGGACCAGAAACACATTTCAGCTGAAAGGATTCCCTTTCTAAATGTTATTGAGGTATTCTCAGATCCTGCAGTAATGTAGAGGCAGTAAGGTCTCATACATCCCAATGCAAGATTTAAAACATGAATTAAAAACACCCATGGACAGTGACTGACTTTTGGGTCAGACTAAACCCACTAAGAAAGGAAAGAAAGGTTCGGTACTTGTACCTTTGTTTCTACAAACCTGCCATTCATCGTTGTATAGGTAGGAATCAGAACAGGGACGAAACAGAACAGTATAAGAAGGGATAAATCACATGGCTTCACTCAAAAAGAATTAGAGGTGCCTCTTAAAAGGGGGGAACCCTGGAAAGGATGTCCACAGAGACATTATGAGAGATAGAAAATACATCTTATTAAGGGTGATAAGATTGTTATATAAAAAGATTACTTTAAAGAACTATTCTATTTAATAATGCTTTTTTTGAATTTAAAATTCACACTCTATCACATCACTGTGTTCAAAAGGATATTAGAGAAAATAAATAAATAAATAAACCAGAACATGTGGAAACAAAACAGGTCTGCTGATTTCACTTGAAATGAATTTGAGATCATTTATTAATATGCAGTAGCACGGTGGCTGCTAAACCACTGGAATTATAGATGTTCTAAAATAAATAAATTAATATATAAACACACAATGTTTGCTGCCCAGATTTACACAGGCTAGTATAGCAGTGCTAAACTGCAACAGTGCCAAAATTAAGAACCTCCTAATCGCCTATAAACAAGTGTATTAGGAGGCAGCATCCTAAATACAGATGACACAGACTAAAATTACTGTGGCCCATCTAGCCTAACATTAGAGGGCTCCGAGGCAAGTGAAAAACCACAACAAATATAAATTGGTACTTTCACTATCTGCTAATAATCTATGGCTCCAGGATTTCTTTACCCAAATAAAACTTCTTTTCATGTGTTGAAGGATTTTGCTCAATTGCTTTAAAATGATGCAGCTTTAAAATTTATTAATGCAATATGATATGATGAATTCTAAGGCATTAATGGAACCTGTGCAAAGAAATACTTAATTTTGTTTGTTTTGAAGATTCATTAAAATCTCAAAGGAGCAACTTGTTCTGCTGATTTGGCAGTGAGATGGGTGGTGATGGCAAGAGGTGAATAAAATATTTTTCATGTATTCTGAAAATAAGCATTTATTCAAACATTTTCCTATTTATGGTGGGAAAAAAAAAAGGCATTCAATGATTGAGTTTGCAAATGAAAATGCAATATAAGAGAGAGCTCAGATAGCTTAAGGTTTGGAAAAGCAGCTGGAATGGCAAGTGATTTGAGACTTGAGCACCCAGAGAAAGACTCGAATCCAGGTCTTCTAATATCAAATCAGCCAACTCTTGACAAACTTTGAGTCTTGCTTCTCAGTCATGAGAAAATTTCTCATTCTAACTAGCACTGCAAGCACCTTCTCTGATATATTTCAAAGATAAAAGTAATGCAGAAGGAGTGATGAACTCCAGCAGGGAAAAGAAACAGATGCACACAATACTGAACTTAATTTCATAACTTCAGACTTTGGGTCTGAGACTTAACTTCTGGGTTTAGATTTTTGACAAGAGTTTCCAAAATTACAGTACTTGCAGTGCAACTAATGTTGTCATTGTAGGATAAATTGCAAATTTACATCATAAGTCAAACAGCCACAGTCAGGAAAGAAACTTGTAGTGATAAAGAATGAGCACTACCTATCCTAGGCAAAAAAAAAAAAAAAAAAAGGCACTTGTAAATTCTTTAAGCATGTCTTGTTGGAAGACCTATACTTATTGCTCTTCACTTAGAACTTTAGAATAATTATAGTAATATAAAACACAAGCATGAAATCAGATGTGTAGGACTCGAGGGACAGTGAAAGAAACAGCATAAAGACACTAACCTTTGGTTTTCCAGTTTCCCCAGAAAGCTAATTATTTATGGGACATGCACGGTATTATATACTATCAAAGAAGAAGAGGCGATCTGTCAGAGAACCACGGCAAGAGGCAGGTGAGCTGAGAATATGATTGCAGGTCAAAACCCCCCAGTGGGGAAAAAAGGGGGCCCGGCCCCGGCGTCAGCTCTGACTGCGGTCGCTGCGCTGGGGTTCGGTGCTGCCGGGACAAGCCCGCGGGCCGCCTCCGGCATCCTGGCGCTGAAGCCCGTTCCGTAACGTGACTCCTCGCAGGCCACAGCTTCTGGGGCAAGCCCCTTCAGCGCCGCCTCCCCCTCCAAACAGCATTTCTTTCCCATTCCCTCTTCTCGACTGCCTAACTTCTTGCCGAAGTGCTGTTCTTGATGAAATAAAGAATTAATCGGCTATATAAATTGGGAGGCAGAGCACTCACACAAGAGGAAATTTTTGAGTGTACTGTTCCCGGCCGCTCTTTTTGGTTTTTTTTTTGTTTGGCGGGAGACCGCGGGCA